CTATTAATATACACTTCTTATAAATAAAGTCATACTATGCAATCAAATGTCAAACGTAGATTCCTTCAGCAATTGTCTAAATATTTATCTTACTTATCTAATTTATCCAATTTATTTTAATTTATATAACATACGTATATGGATATACTTTTGTAATTATAATATAGCTATGATAAGTATAATATAATCCGGATCTTTGATTCTAGTTGTATTAAGACAAATTAACAAATCATTGAGATTCTAACTATATAAAGACAAATTAATAGAAATTATATTTAGCTATAATAAAATCTATATCTCTGATTCTACGTATATAAATATATAAAAACAAATTAATAAGGCAATAATTCACTTAATGGGTACAAGATAAGTATAAGGTAATGTTATGCAGTCATATAAGTATAGATTTCCAAAGCAGTGAGTATATATACACCAAATATTACTTCTTAGTCACTGTTAGTAATTAGTAGTTGGTCTTGGTAGTATCTTATGTTCTGGCAATCTTTATATCAAATATCCAATTATAGTTCAAGTCCACTTCCTTTCAACTGTCAATAGTTTCAATATAATATGTCCATGTATTATCCACTTGTTCCGTAATCCTCAGTTCAAGTCCTCACCGGGATAAGCCGTGGCAGAAACAAAAATTATAAATCCAATGTATTTCACGTCCGATCGTACTTTTTCCTCCCTTTACTTTACTTTTTGTCCAATACACACTGATCGTGCGCCAAAAGTATCAAGCGTCTGCTTCCCCAAATAACACAATCCAATAGTCCCGTTGCTTTATTATCCAATTATCCAATTAACTCGATCAATAAACTTGATCCTGTTAAGGAAGCCTTTGTCTGGATTGTCCAGTAAGTATCGGCAACAATGTTATAAGTTCTAAGTTGACTGTGTTCTCCCTGCCGTTGCTCAATATGGCTTCACCGTCCTTTCTTCTATGGATATCCGGGGCTCTAAAAGTCCTCCCGTTAAGTCTTTTAAGTTTTCAGAGACCTTCGCTCTCCCAGCTTTTTGTTATGAAGCTCTGGTTATCAATCACACACTTTGTTCAACCGTATTCCCTCTGGATTCTTTCGGATTCCACTGACTACCAGATTACGCGCTGTCACTTTCAATATGGATTCCTCCCCTTCACTCCACTTATCAGTCGCCGCTTCTCTTTCTCCTCTTTTACTCAAGGGTTCCTTCCGCCCGCTTTCTCCCAACCGTTAGAAAATGCAGATATACCTTTTCAATCTTTAATCCTCACTTCTGTTTTCACCGATGCTTTTCTTTTTCAATCTTCGCTTCCCTCTTAACAGCTGTCAGCGTTTCTGGCCAGCCGGGTGGCTGGTTCTTCCTCGTTCCGAGTTAGAGGAGTTATCCTGAACCTTCGGGGGGATTGCCGCCCTCCCCGAGGTCCTCAGAAATTTCCCCTTCTTCTACCGACCTCTACGGGGTCGGTAGTGCCGAAATCAGCGCCCGCAGCGAGGATATTAGGGGCTTTGGAAACGGAGCACCGTTCCTTTTGCCCCTAACACGTTGACGTCGTCGGCGGAAGTCGAAAATATTTTCTAACAATTGTTGATAATTACTCTAGATATGAATATGTATATCCTATGAAAGAAAAATCAGAGACTTTTCAGATCTTTAAAGACTTTGCAACCCTTGTTTCTACCCAACACCAAGTTCGCATCGCCAGAATCCAGAGTCATCGTGGTGCCGAGTTCATGTCTCAGCGTTTCCAGGACTGGATGCGTAAGAATGGAATTATTCATCAGATTTCGGCCCCTTACACACTGGCTCATAATGGAGTCGCAGAACGAAGACAAGGGGTACTGCAAACCATGATGCCTTGTCTCCTAGAAGACGCCAACCTTGGTAAGATATACTGGGGTGAAGCTATCAAGTAAGCAAATTACATTGTCAACCGTACTTGGAGCAGTGTAACAAATCAGACTCCTTTCTTCATGTTGTATGGCTACAACCCCGATCTTAAAAACATTCATATTTTTGGTTCATACGCTATGGTGAACATTCCCTTAGCTCAAAGAAGAAAAGGAGGTCCAGCAGCAAAAAGACTGAGATGTATGGGTATTGATGATAACTCAAAATGGAGCAAATTTATTGACTCTAAACATGTAATTATGATTTCCCAATCTGCTAATTTTGAGGAAGATGTTGACTGGTCCAGGATTAATTCCAATGATCCTGGAGTTTATTTTCCTAGAGATGATACTGCTGATGCCACGCAGATTGATGATCAAGATTCCACTGGTTCTTCTCAACCCGATGTTCCGTCTTCGCAAGCCGCGGATGCTGACACTAGCGACGAATGTGAGGACGAGGATGAAGCAGAAGAAGACTGGACTGGTGTTCTGAGACGTTCCAAGAGGGCCACAAAAGGAATCCCTCCACAATGATATTCTTGGCAACTGACAAAAGCACCCTTGCCTTTGATTTGCAATGTTACACTTCCACCTGATAATTTCACACAAATCAAGCAGCTTCCTGATTCAGAGCAAGACAAATGTTATGAAGCAATGCAGATTGAAATGGACAGTCTAAAGAAACTCAAAGTGTTTACACCTGCAAAACCTCCAGCAAACAAAAAGATCATTGGCACTCGATGGGTCTACAGAATCAAAAAGAAACCAAATGGTGAGTCATTGTACAAGGCCAGACTTGTAGCTCAGGGTTTCGCTCAACGTTATCCTGAGGACTACACAAATACTTACTCACCGACAGTTCAAACTGAGAGTGTAAAAATTGCTTTAGCAACTGCAACTATCCTTGGTTTAGAAGTTTTCCAGTTCAATGTTGACACGGCTTATCTACATGCAGACCTAGATGAAGAGATCTACGTGAAAGGTCCTCCAGGATTCCAACAGCAAGAAGGGGATACCTGGTTTCTAAACAAAAGTCTTTATGGTCTGAAACAGTCTGGTTTAATGTGGTACTTATGTCTTACTGACAAACTAAATTCAATGGGCTTTATTAAGTCCGAAACTGATGAGTGCATGTTCACAAAAAGATCTAACAATGCATATGAGATAGTTCTTGTTTATGTTGATGATATTGTTTATATTGGTCCAAATAAGCAAATGAGTGAAATTTTTGCCAAAGCTTTGCAGAGATACTTCAAATTGAAATCATTGGGTCACATTAGCACTTATTTAGATGTTCAGATTGAAAAAACACAGAAGGGGTTTAGTCTTTCACAAGAAGATAAAATTGAACAAATTTTGCATCATTGTAACATGAAAGATGCTAACACAACAAAGACACCCATGCAAACAGATTTTCACAACTTGACACAAGAAGCAAGTCCTGAGTTCGAGGATCAAACACTTTATCGTTCAGTCATTGGGTCACTATTGTACATTAGTAGTTGGACCAGACCCGACATTGCACTTAGTGTTAATCTCTTATCTCGACACGTAGGTAAGGCAAAACAGTTTCATTGGACAGGTATTAAGAAATTATTGAGATACCTAAAATACACCAAACACATGAAATTATTGTTAGAACCAACACATACTGATTATGCAGAACTAAGTTGTTATGCAGATTCTGATTGGGCAAGTGATAAGAAATCACGTAAAAGTACTTCAGGTTATATGATGTTCTTAAATGGATGTCCTGTTTATTGGCAAGTACGCAAACAGAATTTTGTTTCTTGTTCATCTACTGAAGCTGAATATGCTTGTGTTTCAGATGCATGTAATTCTCTAACTTGGTTTGATGCTTTAGTCACAGATATCTGGACACACCTGATCCGACCAATCACCGTGATGGAAGACAATGAATCGGTGGTTTATATTTCTGAATCTCATTTTACAGGTTCTAGGTCCAGACACATTGATATCCGTTATCAAAACATAAAACATTTAGTGAAAAAAGGTTTTGTTAAAATGCAATATGTATCTACACATGATCAAATTGCTGATATGCTCAACAAACCACTTCCAGCAGCTCAACCTGAGTATCTGCGCAAGAAGATGTGCCTTATTTGATGATGTACTGATATTCACTCAACTGGCAAAAGAAGGGGAATGTCACTGTGTTATTTTATTTACCAGCTGAGCTTCATATTTCTGGACTATCAGACTTTCCGTACCTTGCCAAGAATTGTTATCAGAAGCTACTACGCATGTGCATCCACCCACATTCTTTCACTTGCTTCACACACTCTTTTCCTTTGTTCTCTTGCCAGCAAGGTCTGGCTGAGAAATAGCCGGCAAGAATTATTTCAAAAATGTAGCAATTACTTTTCTTAGTTAGTGAGGTGTTTTATTTTCTTTATAACAAATAAATGAGTTTTATTAGAAACTTTTCTTCGCGTTTCTTTTTCAGAATATTGCAACAAGGAATAAGCCTCGATCCATTCTCTAAAGCAGGGTGATTTTTCCCAGAGCCAAACATGGGATTAATCAACGCCCTGACATATACAAAGTCAGTTTATTGCCCCCACAAACTGGGTCCTCAATTTATCTACCTTAGAAAGGATGGAAGGCTGAGTCAACCTTGAGCCTGGTGAGATTCGAACTTACAGTAATTGCAGACAGCTGGTGTTAATCACAATGCTATTAGTCTGCTGAGCCACCAGGCCCCTTGATTAATTTGATTAATTGTATAAGATAAGATATGGCCAATACTCTGTTCAAAAAAGATGTGGGTAAATGTTGGGGGGGGGCAATAAAACTTGTTTTTTTAAAAAAAGAGGAATTATTGAGTCCATCAGCTGCACCCTTATAACTGTCTGGTTTGGCACTGCAACCAATCAAGACAAACACAGACTTCAATGGATAATTAGAACTGCAGAAAAAACTATTGCTACCAATCTGCCTTCCATTGAGGACCTACATACTGCATGGGCCATTAAGAAGGTTGTGAAAGTATCTACATCCTGGACATAAGCTGTTTCAACTTCTACCCTCAAAATGACGCTATAGAGCACTGCACACCAGAATGGACGTTGGACTTACCTGATACGTCTGTTCTCTCTTAGTAAGGAACGTCTGTCAGACTGGGTATGGACTCCACTATGCAGCATATGACCGAGTCTGCGGATTTAAATAACTCCGCCCTCTACTGGTTGAGCCCCAGTGTTTCGGCGAGGGCGCTGATGCAGACTGGAGTGTCGTCCTGGAAAATACAAAGAGAGAGGTAAAAGAACACCACCCACCCCACCGGGAACAGGGCACGCCAGAAGGGTGGGGCTGACAGACATTCCTTACTAAGAGAGAACGGACGTATCAGGTAAGTCCAACGTCCATTCTCCTCAGCGTAAGGAACGTCTGTCAGACTGGGGACATACCAAAGCTGAATGTCCACTGGGAGGGAAGAGAAAGGGCCCTGTTACCTCAAGCCGAGTGAATAGGACTCTCCGCCCGAAGGCCGCCTCAGCAGATGCAAACGAGTCCACACGATAGTGGCGGATAAAGGGGGAGATGCTCGTCCAAGCGGCTGCTCTGCAAACTTCCTCCAACATAGCCTGGGTTGCCCATGCAGCAGAGGTCGCCGCACTCCTGGTGGAGTGGGCCATGATGTGGTGAGGTACCGGCAATGATTGTCTCTGGTAGACCGTAGAGATTGTAGCACGGATCCAACGCCCCAACATAGGTGCCTAAGCTTTGGCTCCGATAGACGTGGGTTGGTAAGAGACAAATAAAGCCTCTGTCTTCCGAAAGGAGGATGTACGCCTCAGGTATATTTTGAGGGCACGTCGCACGTCAAGCGTATGCCAAGATCGTTCCAAGTGGTGCTGAGGGGAAGGGCAGAAGTTGGGTAGGACCAACTCCTGCGCGCGATGAAAAGGAGAATTGATTTTAGGTATGAACGCTGGGTCTAGCCGGAGGACTACCCTGTTGTGGTGAAAAATGCAGAGGTCCCTTCGAGATGACAGAGCCGCCAGCTCCGAAATGCGGCGAGCTGATGTGTTTGCGACCAAGAAGGAGACCTTGAAGGACAAGAAATGGAGCGAGACGTGTCGAAGAGGCTCGAAGGAGGAGGTTGTAAGAGCTGAGAGGACCTTGTTCAAGTCCCAAGTAGGGAAGCGATGAACAGGTGGAGGTCTTAAATTTGCAGCTCCCCGCAGAAATTGTTGGATGACGGGATGTCGAGAAATCGAAGATGATGAACCGCAAGTCAAAACTGTAGAGATGGCGGCAGCTTGCCTCCGGAGGGTGTTTGGAGATAGTCCGGCGTCAAAACCCTCCAGGAGAAAGCGTAAAACCTCCAGAATTGAAGCCGAAAGGGGGTGGATGCGAGCGTGCTGACACCAAGCGGCAAAAGAGGTCCAGGTAGAGTTGTAGATTCTATTAGTAGAAGGCCTGCGGGAAGCCAGGATGACGTCTATCACGGAAGAGGGGACCTTGGCCTCTCGTAGGAGGAACCACTCAGCCTCCACGCGGTTAAGTGGTACCATGTCGGATCCGGATGGCGAAGGGAACCCTGCACGAGGAGAATCTGGTCGTCCGGAATGGTCCATGGTCGAGCGACAGATAGGGAGATCAAGTCTGAGTACCAGTGTCTCCGGGGCCAGCGGGGCGCAAGAACAATGATCTCCGCCCGTTTCTGAAGAACTTTCCTGAGCACCCTGGAAATCAACGGGAAGGGGGGGAAGGCATATAAAAGACCGGAAGGCCAAGGGCTGCGGAGGGCGTCTGTGGCTTCGGCCCCGTAATCCCTGTACCTAGAGAAGTACCTCGGGACTTGATGGTTGGCCTGCGATGCGAAGAGGTCCACTTCGGGAGACCCAAAGCGCCTCGTGATCTCCCTGAAGAGAGAAGGGGAAAGGCTCCATTCCGCGTTGTCCAGGCGACGTCTGCTCAGGGCATCTGCTTGAGAATTCTCCTCCCCTGAGATATGATCTGCGCGAAGGGAGTGAAGGTGAGATTCAGCCCAGAGGCCGAGTAGCAGGGTCTCGTCCATGAGAGCCCAAGAATGAGTGCCTCCCAGTCTATTAACGTGAGCCTTCGCCGTAATGTTGTCCGTAAGGACAAGGACGTCACGAGAAACGATAAGGTCCCGAAAGTGAAGCAAGGCTAGACGAATGGCTCTTAGTTCTAGGAGGTTAATGGGAAGAAGCTGCTCGGATGAGGACCACTGACCTTGCGCCAGGTGATGTTACAGGTGAGCCCCCCAGCCCTGGAGGCTTGCGTCCGTGGTGACTATTATGCGCAGAAGCTCCTGACAAGGCCAAGGACGTCCACCACCGGAGGGAGGAGATGACGGACGGGGCTAGAGGTACTCTGAGGAGAGAAGTACTAGATCGATTCCGTTGATGAGGGAGCAGGAACCATTGTAACTCCCTACTGTGGAGACGGGCCCATGGCACTATATCGTATGTAGAGACCATCTTGCCCAGAAGGCAAGACAGACTAAGGAGAGAAGATGATCGGTCCGCAATACAGCGGAGGGCAAGGGAGCATAAGCTGTCTTGGCGTTCCGAGGAGAGGGAAACTGTAGACCTTACTGAATCAATGATAGCCCCTAAATGTTGGATAGAGGTGGCTGGGACCAGATGACTCTTGGCCCAGTTAATGGAGAACCCGTGAGATTGGAGAATTTGGATGGAAGTAGCCAAATCGGTTTGGGCCTCCTCGAATGATGAGGATTGTAGTAGAATATCATCAAGGTAAAATTGGATTCTGATGGGGAAGGAACGAATGTGTGCCACCAGAGCCGCCATGATCTTAGTAAAGACGCGGGGGGTGGAGGAAAGGCCGAAGGGGAGAGCCGAATATTGGTAATGTCGCCCCCGGTAGTGAAAACGGAGATATTTACGGAATTCCGGGTGTATGGGGACGTGGAGGTACGCCTCCGTTAAGTCTATGGAAGACAAGAAGTCCCCAGGGTGAATGGTTTCCAAAATAGTATGGAGAGTGTGCATCTTAAACCTGTGATACACAAGGTAACAGTTAAGAGCCTTCAAATCTAAGATGGCCCTCCACCCCCCAGAAGCCTTGCGAACAATGAATAAACGGGAATAAAACCCAAGGCCATGCTGGTCGGGTGGTACTGGTTGAATGGCCTTGATGACAATCAAGTGGGAGAAAGCCTGAGAAACGAGGGATCTCTGAACCCTGTCCCTGGAAACAGGGCAAGAGAGAAAAACAGGGGGAGGAAGGGAGGAGAACTCAAGAGAGAGACCTAATTGAACAGTACGTAAAACCCAAGAGTCAGAAGTTGAAGAAGCCCACTGAGCGGAGAAAAAAGTTAAGCGGCCGCCAATGGGTGTCTCCGAGTTACCCTCACTTGGACCATCGGAACGATCTTCCCCTGCCTCCTCGAAAGGAACGCTTCTGGAAGGGCCTATTGCCCTGTCTAACCTGTGGGTCCTGGTGAGTCTGGGACTGAAAGGAGCGTTGAAAACGAGGCTGGTATGAGCCGGAGTCTTGAGGTCGACATGACTGAGACCGGTTGTAAGGAGAAAAATGAGAAATGGAACGACGGGAAACAGACAGCAGGATCTTGCGGTGGTCTCTAGTTTCCACCAGAAGTGGCTCCAGGGGTGGACCGAAGAGAGAAGAGGAGGAGTAGGGTGAGGAAGCTAGCTGCCACTTGCTCTTGGCGTCCGCCTGCCAATGGCGGAGCCACAAAAGTCGATGTGACGTGACCGTGGAGCCGATGGATTTGGCTGAGAACCGTGCTGAGTTCAGCGTGGCATCTGCGGAGTACTCCAAGGCGGCGACGATCTTGTTCAAATCCTGGTGCGTACGAGTGTCAGACGGAGGTAGCCTGTCTTGTAACTGTTTCAACCAGAGCAGGGAGGCTCGGTTAAAAAAGGAAGCAGAGGTGGCAGTTTTGACTGCCCACGCCACGGATTGATGCACCTTGATGAGGGTCTTCTCAGCTTGCTTGTCTTCGGGTCGCAGAGATTCCTCAGGAGAGCTGGGAAGTCTGGAAGGAGAAGCCAAGGCCGCAATGGGGCCGTCCACGGGAGGTACCTGCAGAAGGTCAGAAAGAGCAGGAGCAGTTTGGTATAATCATTTATCCAAGCCATTAGGTGCCGGGGCTGAACCAGGCAAAGTCCATTGACGTTGGACAATGTCGGTGAAAAGTTTGGGGGCTGGAATGAGCTCTGGTTCAACTGCTGGTTCAGCAAACAAGGATGAAGCTGGATCGGAGGAATCCTGTGGTGCTGAGCCCGAGGCGTTAGGGGACCCCAGTCTAGTAACCGCTAAGGCCTTGAACAATAAGGAACGGAATAATTGGGGCCTGAAAAGGCCAACGAAAGCGGGCTGGTCTGGAGTGAGGCCCTCGTCGTCCGAAAGGGTCAGCTCCCTAGATTCTTCTTCCTCCGAAAGAGAACCCTGGTCAGAGCGCTCAGGAGAAGGCAAACGATCCTCGTGGTCCCCAGAGTGGACCAGGCGAGATTGGACTCTGGCAATGAGAGTAGGGGCCGGAAAGAGACCCTGTTGCAACCCCTGAGAAAGGCTCTGTTGGATGGCTCTGGCTATGACGGCTTCCAAGGTAGCATGGGGGTCTGGTTGTGAAACTTCCCCTGCGAAGGCCTGAGAGGTTCCAGATCCGCAGGGTGGGCAAGAGGGCCCCGGGTCACTGTCCCTTATCTGTGCTGGGGCATCAGAGGGGTCCGGGAGGGTCTGAAAAACCTGCTCTGCCTCCGATGACGTAGGGCCCCGAGACGAAGGACGATCAGGGGAAAGCTCCCGATCGGAACAGGCTATAGCAGGTTGATGTGAAGGAAAAGAGGGCCTGGGCGGTAAAATGGCAGAGATGCTAGACAAAATGGCGGCGGGCTGTTGTTGAGCCCTGAAAGCCGCCTTCTCTAAAGCCCTGTGCCGCCTCAGTTCCTCCCTGGTAGGTTTAATGGCTTGGCCAGAGGAGGATGTCGATCCCTTGGAAGGGGCTTTGCCTGAGCGGCCCTGTTTGCTGGTTCCCTCCCCCGGGTTGCTAGCATGACGATGTCGGGGCCGGGAGGCTGTGGAGCGAGAACGAGGCTGATTAGAGGCGTCCGCCATTTTAACAGGGGCCGTTACGGCTGCCGGGGAGCCCTGACCGAAGCGATGCTCTCAAACTTAGCTGTTGCCGAAGCTCCGCCGAGATGAGGGCAGCTGATGAGTTGGAGGCAGTTCCGCTGGTGAGAGGAGCCGAAGGAGCCGTCTGCACGTCATCGCCGAGCCGCTAGCCAAGGGCAGTCAAAGCGGCCAGAAAAATATGGCGCCGTTTGAAAAGCCCGCCAAGAGAACGGCGCCAACAAAGCTGCTAGGTAAATGCCGTTAAAATGCAGCTGTCTGTCTCCCGGTGGAAAGGGGAGATGGAGGGGGAGACTTTGAGCTCTCACCCCTCAGGGGGTCTGTTGGCAGGCAGCCCCCGCCGCAAAAGCGGCTGCCGGCAGTCTCGAGTAAGGACCCTTCGGGCCACTGATACAAGGAAAAAAAAAATTAAAACGTCCAATTTGAAGAATTGCCGAATTTGAGATGAAAAGAGTTGAAAAAATAGTGAAAAATAGCGATAAACGCCACAAACAGACTGGATCCAGGAAGACACGACTGTCCAGTTTAGGACCGAGTTGAAACACTGGGGCTCAACCAGTAGAGGGCGGAGTTATTTAAATCCGCAGACTCGGTCATATGCTGCATAGTGGAGTCCATACCCAATCTGACAGACATTCCTTACGCTGAGGAGAACTACACACAAGGTCAGTTTTCCTCCCATGCCATCACTCTGCTAAACAACTAATTCCCACAATACTGTCAAACTATCTAAAAAGACAGTATTACCATCATTAGTCTCATCTTCCCTATTACCTATCTCCTTATCTTCTTAGACTATAACTTTGTTGCTTGCATCTTACCATTTTATTGTTTACTTAGTATCCTAGTATGATTTATGTTGATTGCTTATTTAGTATACATGACTAACACTGTTGTATCTAATGTTTTATGATGAATATATTTTTACAATGACTATGATAATGTTCTATCACTATTGTATGTACACTGAGAGCTTATGCACCGGAGACAAATTCCTTGTGTGTCTAATCACACTTGGCCAATAAAGAATTATAATTACTCAATTCAGTAACATTGCAGTTTTCATAAAAGGTTTTCTTCAAGTTGAGCTTACCTCTGGTTGCTTAGTAATTCTAGGCAAATTGGTTTACCTTCTCCCAGAATGTTTAATTTATTCATTTATTAGTTTAGTCTACAGACCCAGTATTTCTGGTTGTGGTTCTTCTTCATACTAATCAGGACAGATCCTCCTTTGCTAAGGTGGAGAATAAAAATTCTAATAAGAAACTCATTTGTTCTTTTTTTCCTTAAATTTAGGATTTTGGAATGACAATGAAAAAAATGGATAATTTGGCAATCTAATAAAATGGACACTCACTTTAATCAAGCTAAGGAAGTAATTCACAGAGAAGTTTCAGATGTTAAAATTTACTCAACAAGCACCACCTAGTGGTAAGATCCTTAATATAATATGTATACTTTAGTCTGGGTGTCGGCAACTGGGGCTCTAGAGCCGCTTGCAGCTCTTTGTGCCCTCTGCTGCGGCTCCCTGTCTCATCACTGGCTGTCCCCGCCCCTTGCCCAGTCACTCCTCACCTGGCCTGAAAAGGTAAGGGTGACATCAGTGGGTGGAGAAGCGGTCGGGACTGATTCTCCGGTGCCTCACTCTTGCTGAAGCTTCTTCTGGCCCTCGTTGGTGCTGGACGTGCCTTGGTCACTTGGGGAGACGTGTAACCTGCTCTCTGCCCCAAGACACTGGCCTGACCTGGCCACGATCGACACCGGCCTTGCTAACATGAGGGCTGGAGGGGTGGGAATAGGATCAGGAAGGATGGGACAGAAAGGGGGACGGGCCCACAGAGCCCAGCCGCAGCTTTAAGAAGCTCAGGGCAGCGGGAAAAGGGGGATGGCCCC